CAATTCTCCTGCCTCAGCCTCCTGAGTAGCTGGGATTACAGGCACGCACCACCATGCCCAGCTAATTTTTTGTATTTTTAGTAGAGACGGGGTTTCACCATGTTGACCAGGATGGTCTCGATCTCTTGACCTCGTGATCCACCCGCCTCGGCCTCCCAAAGTGCTGGGATTACAGGCTTGAGCCACCGCGCCCGGCCCATAACTTACATTTTAACAATGTTTATAGTTGTTGCATGTTTTCATACATTCTCAACTGGGTCCACAGAACAGCCTCACGGGCTGGAAATTATTCCCCTGCTTTGCAGGTGAGGCGGACTTTCCTAAAACGAGGCTGTAAGTAACAGACCCAGGGCAGAACTGGGACCAGGTGGTCTGGTCCAAATCCTGGACATGATTCTCTGTCTTCTGCCACTTTGGCTGGAGGAAGTATGTGCAGAGGTGCTGAAGTGGGAAACAGCTGAGTGTGCTCTGACCTGCCGAGGGGCATGGGGAGTCACTAGAGGTATGACTGGAAAGGTGGGGAGACAGGAAGGGAGGAGTGGAGGTGGAGGCAGGGGCCTGGTGCTGGGATGGGGCCTGAGGGAGAGGCTTCTAGCTTCGTGATAGGACTTGAGGTCAAGGAGAGAAGGAAAGTATCAAGACCAGCAAAGAAAGAGTCAGAAGCACTGGACTTGGCAAGAAATAAGCCAAGCTAGGGTTGGATGGGCTCAGCAGAGTGATCAAACCAGGAGGGATTTCAGAGTTGTGCTAAGAACCATCAGTGTAGGGAGTATTTATGGACCATCTTTATTATTAGGCACCAGGTACTTGCATTATTTGGTTGAACCTATACAATAGCTCTATAAGGTAGATACTATTATTACCCCTATTTTATAGATGAGGAAACTGAAGCCCAGAAAGGTTAAATTATTCATTTAAGGCCAGGTTTCTCAACTTTGGCACTATTGAATTTTAGGCCAGATAATTATTTGTTGTCGGGAAGGCTCTTTGTACTCTGAGACAGTCTGCAACATTCCTAGCCTCTGCCGACTGATGCCAGCAGCACCTCCATCCCCAGTTATGACAATCAAAAGTACCTTCAGGCATTGCCTAACATGGGGGGGGGGTAAAATTACCCCCCCTTGAGAATCACTTGTCTAAAGTCATATGGTTAGTAACAGAACTGGAATTTTTTTTTTTTTTTTTTGAGACAGAGTTTTTTTCTTGTCGCCCAGGCTGGAGTGCAATGGCACAATCTCGGCTCACTGCAACTTCTGGCTCCTGGGTTCAAGCGATTCTCCTGCCTCAGCCTCCCAAGTAGCTGGGACTACAGGCGTGCACCACTCCACCCAGATAATTTTTTTTTTGTATTTTTAGTAGAGACAGGGTTTCACCATGTTGTCCAGGCTGGTCTTGAACTCCTGACCTCAGATGATCTGCTTGCCTCAGCCTCCCAAAGTGCTGGGATTACAGGCATGAGCCACCACACCCAGCCAGAACTGGAGTTTTAATACGAGTTTGCCTGAATAGAGAAGCCAAGATCTTATCATCAGGTGGCTAGAATCCTGGACAGGTAGGAGTCAGAGAGAGACAATTCTTTGGAGGAGGGTCTGAGGAGGTGGAGGTGACTTGGAGATTCTAGGACATGGTTTGGGAATCTCTTTATGGTGAGTTCTTGAGGGAGGGTATTATTCATCCTTTGACCACAGGGTACTAAACAACGATTGAAGTGCTGAGTCACTCGTGTGCAGGTGATAGTTATAACCTTGACTGTGGAAGACTGTGCCCTTTAAGTGGCTGCCATGTGCCAGGCACCAGGCTAGGGACTATGTGGAGGTGATCCCATTTAATCTTCACCTCAGTCTTATGAGGTAGGTATTATTATCTGCAATTTATGTGTCAAGAACCCAAACTCTGGCTGGGCGCAGTGGCTCACACCTGTAATCTCAGCATTTTGGGAAACCAAGGTGGGTGGATCACTTGAGGTCAGGAGTTCAAGACCAGCCTGGCCAACATGGTAAAACTCCATCTGTCCCAAAAATACAAAAAATTACCTGGGCGTGGTGGCACATGCCTGTAATCCCAGCTACTCGGGAGGCTGAGGCAGGAGATCACATCACTGCACTCTAGCCTGGGTGACAGAGACTTCATCTCAAAAGAAAAAAAAAGAAAAGGAAACAACCTAAACTCCACGAGGTTGAGTAATTGACCTGAGGTAGCACAGCTGAGTAGACTTCTCACTCAGGCTCAGCAAGGAGGAATGAGGTAGGCTCACAGGTGATGTAGGGTGAGGAGTGGGCCCTTAGAAGGGGAAGTGAATGACAGCTATTTGTAAAGTCAGAGAACTCCCGGCTCAAATGAAATCTCACCCAAAAGGCACAATCTACTGACTGACAGAGGAAGAGCTTCTCTACTGAGCGGGCTTGAGGCCCCTGCCTGGTGATCCCCCCAGCCCCATTCCAGGAAGCCCTCGGGCTCTGAGGAATAAGCCCCTCTCTTTATAAGCAGACTTTGGAGGCCAGGGGAGGAAAGATTTGCCCAAAGTCACACAGCCAGGCAGGGCCAAAACCTCCAAGACAGCACTCCAGCTCCGTGTCACACTGCCATGGGAGACAGGGCAGCCACACTGGACAGATGTCAGGGAGCTGGTCTACTTAGGGACTGGCATGTGTTCCTACAACGTGGGGAAGTGGCTGCGGGCTCCCTGCGCTAGCCCGGCTGGAGAGAAGCCTGGATAATGAGTAGTGCTTGGGTTCCCCAGGTGACAAGCCTTTCACAATCATGATTACTACCTAACCTCCTCAAATCTCTTTGAGGTGCACAGGCAAGTGCCATTATCTGCATATTACAGCTGAGGGGACCCAGGCTTAGGCAGGCTGATTGTCTCCAGCTGATTATGCACACAGCTGATAAGTGACAGAAGCAGGCCCAAACCCTAGGTTTCTGCCTCCAGGTTAAATACACTCCCTTCCTCTTCGGCCCAGATCCCAAGGAACCCAGTCTCACAGCAAAATCCTAGTCTGTCCAGGAGCTCCATTCCCGACATTCCAACCCCCCTCCCGCACCCAACCGGCCCCAAATCTCCACCCCACCAGTGAGTCTCAGGCTCCCTGAACTGTCACAATACACACCAGACTATTGCCAGTCAAATAGGCAGCGGGCAGAAGGAAATTCAGCAGTGATATCTCCTTCCTCTCTCCTGTCCATCCCCCAACTTTGGCACCTCACCACCTGGGGGAGGTGTTAGGGGTGGGAAAGGGCGGGGCCCCAGAGGAGTGGCTGGAAAGGGCGGGGCTCCAGAGGCGTGGGTGGAAGGGGCGGGGCTCCAGAGGCGTGGGTGGAAGGGTGGGTGGGGCCATATGGGCCGGTGGCGTCTGAGTTAAATCTGTAGGGGCGGGTAGTCGGACTGGACTCGGGCGGGGCTATTCTCCCCACGCCACACCCCGCAGGCGGGCAGCTAGGGCCTGACGGCTGGCGCTGACGCAGATGGCTGCGTGTGGGCGGCTGCGTGTCTGTGTGTCTCTGTGTGTGTGTGTGGTTGCTGGGGCCTCCCCTGCCTCCTAAATGGGGGTTTCCTTTCTCTGTTGCCTAGGAAACAAACAGAAGCGCCACAACTCCAGGACTGGAGCTGCCGGAGAGGCCCCCTCGCCCCAAGCCTCACGCCCTTACACATTTCCAGGAAGTGAGGCAGAAAAGGATTCCCTTTCTCCCTCACCCCCATCCCGGGGTGGGCCAAATGTTTGTGAAGCCTGAAACTAGGGTGGGCAGTTGCCCCGGGTTTGCCGGGGACTGAGGAGTCTCTTAGGATAAGAGACTTAAATGCTAAAATAGGGACAGTTGTTCATCCCACCTAAAGTGCATGCAATTTTGTGGGGAGGCCCTCTTAAATAAATACAAAATGGGCCGGGCGCGGTGGCTCACGCCTGTAATCCCAGCACTTTGGGAGGCCGATGCGGGCGGATAACGAGGTCAGGAGTTCGAGTTCAGCCTGACCAACATGGTGAAACCCCGTCTGTACTAAAAATACAAAAATTAGCCAGGCGTGGTGGCACGCGCCTGTAATTCCAGCTACACAGAATCACTTGAACCCGGGAGGCGAAGGTTACAGTGAGCCGAGATGGTGCCACTGCCTGGGCAACTGAGCAAGACTCCGTCTCAAATATATGTGTATATATATATATTCAAAATGATCTTTTTGCAAATGTTATGGACATGGGATCATGTGTGGAAAGATTGGCAGGCTCCTCTCGGGGCCTTGAAAGGGCTTGTGCAACTGAGAGGCCCTGAAGCTTCACTTTCCTTTGCTCTATGGTAAATCCACCCCTGTCCGCAGCCCGTGCAGCCCCCACACTCCTCAAGGTCCCCTTTGAAGGCTCTCCTCTGGCCCTCAGGCTGGGAGTTCAACTGGGACAGTGAACTGCCAGCCAGGAGGGTGGTGGTGAATCTGCAGGAGATTTCCTGGTGGCTGGGGCAGAGTGCTGGGGCACTCTCGGGAGGAGTGGGGAAGGCGGCTGCCAAGTGGGACAAGCGGATGGCCAGGGTCTCTGCCCTGTGGGATGGAGAAGGGACTGCACTCGGGCCAGTGTTCATCATTCGTTGCCTAGAAGTAGAACTTCAGAGCTGGGAGGAGTCTTAAGGCCTCATGCAGCCCAACCCCCTCCCTTCTAGATCCACATTAGTCCAACTCCCCAGATTCCCCTGTCTGCTATCCCTAAGCCAGCCCACAGGCCCGCCCCAGAGGAGCACCCCGTTGGCCCTGTTTGCCGGGTGAGCTCAAAGCTTGCACAGCAGCCCACCTCACTTTGGCCTTGACCTCTGTGGGGCTCTCCATCAGTGACAGGTAATGAGAAAACCACTGGGGGAGGAGGGTGGCAGGGGTCTGGCTGGGAAGGACAGGAAAACAGGCTAAAGCTGGCATGCTCTCAGGCCCTGGCCTGCTCAGGCTGCCCAGGGAGGAGCTAAGGGGGCATCTGTTTCCTCTTGGCCATGGTCCCCTCAATCCTACCCCAGAGGAGGTGAAAATGGTGCTGGCTTCCTGATGCAGAGCTTCCTGGCCTGGGAGTGCAGTATGGGGTCCAGCAAAACATTCCCATACGCCTTCTCTTCTCCCGCCCTGGAGCTTGGTGGAGCTAAGGTTTAGAGGTGGAGGGTGTGTTTCCTGTTGGAGGAAAGAGATGAGGTCCTAGGGCTCACTGAGCACCAACGATGTACTAGGAGCCATAGCTAGGCTGGGCTCCCAGTGGCAGGTAGTGGGGGAGAAGCAGAGGGCCTGTGTGGCTTTGAGGGGGACCTCACTCAGGCCCCTTGGTGAATGGATCAAGGAGTAAAGCATGGACCAGAGGGACCTGAGCAGAGGGTGAGTGGGGATGAAGGACAGTAAAAGGGGGAAAGGGACGAAGTTGTGGAGGAAGTCAACCATGAGGGAGGGTTGAGGACCGCATTTAGAATCCAGGCCAGGGGGCTCTGGAATAGGGAGCTGAACACAGGGGAGGCTCAGAAATTGAGGAGGGGCAACCATCCCGGTTGACACCAGTGCTCCAGCCCCAGATCCTGTTGGGGCAAATATTTACCAGATGACAACAGTTGCTAAGCAAGGAGGAAGGAGGAAGGAGGAGGGAGGCCAGTAGCTGCAGGCCCTTCCAGGCTCCTCCCCAACCCTCGCAAAAGCCAGCATACACAGGCATGAGCCGCCCGCTCCCCACTCCAGCTGGCAGGCTGAGCTATACCCTCCATGCACACACATCTTGGGATTACCCCAACCCCTGTCCCTCAACAAGCCCAAGCTGATAATACACCAGAGGGTTGGGCTGGGGGAAATGAACCCCGGGGCTGCCAGACCTCCTTCTACTCTGGGACGGCTCTTGGGGCTTAGACCTTGCAAAATGCCCCCTTCCCAATCCCTCCTTCAGTGGGGCCTGGGAATGGGGGAGCCAAGGAGTCTGGATATGGTGAGATATGTGCTGAAATATGGAGCCAGGATGTCCCAGGAACTGAGGCCGGGTTCGAGGAAGGAAAGGGACTCCACTAGAGGCGTCGAAGGGGCAGGGGAGCAGGGCTGGTACAGCCAGAGAAGTGGGGGGTCCTGAGGGCCACTCCCTACTCTGGTCCTCAGGCAGGGGAGGGCATTGAGGGACAAGGAAGGGGGAGGGTGGGGTTGCATTCAAATGGAGCCAGATGTGGCCCTGTGATGTGGGCCGTTGCTGGCGCAGGCACAGCAGGGGCAGGACATGCCACTGCTGATGGAAAGGATGAGTCAGAAACGGGGGGTGGGGGGACCGTCCCCAGAGACCGGGCAGAGGAGAGCTAGTCCAGGACCCCTTCCTCCTCCCTGCCCCAGTCAGGAGCTAGGAGTATGGACTGCCCTCCCATCTCCTCCTCAAGGGGCCACCATCTGCCCACCATCCTCAAGGTTCCCACCCATTTTCCTGGCTGGGCCTCAGCTACTGTATGCAAAACGGGGATCCTGGCACCCTCCCCGTGGCTGTTAGGAGAGTCCCAGACAGAGGAAGTGTGAGGGCCCAGCACACGAGAGAGGCGTACTGGGGGTCTTTTCCCTTGGTGACCTCATTAGGGTGAGGACCCTCTTCTGCAAGGCTTCTTCCTGGGGGTCGGTTGCTGGCTTCTCACTCTCCGCCACAGGCCTTCTGGAAATTGGGATGCAGAGATGGGTGGGAAGGGCCAGTAGGGAGGGCACAAAGAGGAAGCTGCAGGGGCGGGAAGGAGGTTCCTAGAGCCCAGAGCTTCCTGGTGCCCATGGAGGTTCTCCAGGGTTGGAGGGTTGGCGGGTTGGTCAGAGCAGCTGCAGGGACCAAGTCCCCAACTCTGCTGCAACCCCCATGGGTCCATCTTCAGGCAACGACAGATGAATGGCTCGGCTGTGAAATGAAACCAGGGGAGAGAAGGAAGCTGCACCACAGGAGGGCTTCTCAGTGCCTCTGCCACCGCACAAGTGCCCAGGGAGAAGCGGGAGGGGATCCCAGGAAAAGCAGACCCGAAGGGCGGGCCAGGGCACAGCAGTTACAGGAAGACCCATAGAGACAGAATGTGGGACCCTTGGAGAGCTGGGCCCAAGCTGGCAACCAAAAGACTGTTGTTTTCCAAACTCCATCGGAAAGTTTGAAAAATATGCGTGGAAAAGTGACTCACTGCCCCCTTTCCATAGCCCTCACTTCCTGGTTTCTGTGATTTTTCTCCCAAGAGTTAATTCGAGTCACATTCCCACAGAAACCAAAGCCTAATGAGGGAGCGCAAAGAGCGAGCTGCAGGAGGCCTGGGGTGCCTGGGGAGGGGCTGGGAATGGAGATGAGCACTGGGCGGGCCCCAGGCAGATGGGTGGGCGGAGGCGATCTGTCCACTGTAGACACCTCGGGTGGGGGAAAATTCAACTCTCTCAAGGTCGGAGATGGAAGGGTTCATTCACACCACCTAAACCAAACCGTCTTAAAGACCCAGTTTTAGGACAAGAATGCCCTTGGGTGCTCACAGGCTCCTAACCAGAGGTGACAGAACCAGGACTGATACCTAGGTGCCCTGTCTGGGTGTCTGCGGTATGTCCACTGCACCTTGCTGCCCTCTGTACCCCAGGCCCAGAAAGCGTGCTTTCTGGCCTCTTTCTCAGAATCCATTCCTGGGGCCACAACTGAGGCTAGAAGTCCAGGAAGTGGGGAGTGGGGAACACCCCTGAATTCACTCACCTCCACTCCACTGTCCCACCCCCATGTATCATGGAGCAGGTGCGCAGGCACATCCCTCGCTTTGGGCTGGGGAGGACCGAGCCCAGCCTGCCCCAACAGGGTGTTTCTGAGCCGAGAATTCCCAGCCTGTCCCAGAGAGGCCAGGGAAGGCAAGGGCCTGACAATGGGCCAAGGGCGAGTGGCCTTCCATTCTTGAGAATTCTTAGAAGAGGACCGCAAGTATTCCCAGGCCAGGAGTGATTCTAAGCCTCCATAACTTGTCATCGCTCCTTGGATATCTCAGATGGAGTTCATGTCTCCCAACACCCATCCCACTCTGTTCCTCCTTCCTCAGCCTCTCCTCCCTCAACTGCCTTGGCCAATGAGCCCCCAAGTCCTTGTGGTTCCTACTTCCAGAATTGTTCTCGGTTCTATGTACTACCTTCAGCTGTCTGGTCTGCTCACCATCAACCCCCACCTGGGTAACTGCCTCCAGTCTCTCTGCCTCCACCCTAGCCTCTGCCCCATCCTCTCTCCTCTATAAACCACAATCTCCCCCCCTGCCCCACACTCCCCTCTCCCTCCTTCCCTCCCTTCCTTCCTTCCCTCTTTCCTTCCGAGACAGGATCTTGTTCTGTCATCCAGCAGGCTGGAGTGCACTGGTACAATCATAGCTCACTGCACCCTCAAACTCCTGGGCTCAAGTGATCCTCCTGCCTCAGCCTCCCGAGTAGCTAGGACCAGGTTCATGCCACCGCATCTAACTAATTTTTTTTTTGGTAGAGATGGGGTCTCACTTTGTTGCCCAGACCTCCCACCTTGACCTCCTAAAGTGCTGGGATTACAGGCAAGAGCCACCACGCCCAGCCCACAGTGATCTTTTCAAAATAAAAGCCTCATTGTGTTTCCATAAAACTTTGAACTAACAGTGACTCCCCACTGTATTTAGGATAAAGTCCAAATTCCTTGACCTGACTTGTAAAGCCCTCTGTGACCTGGGCTCTGCTGGCATCTCCAGCCTTATCTAAATTCCAGCAATCTCAACCTCTCTCATCGCCTCCTGACTAACCCTCCCAGACACCGCACATAGTTTACTTTCTTTTTTTTTTTTTTTTTTTTTTTTTGAGACGGAGTTTCACTCATGTTACCCAGGCTGGAGTGCAATGGCACGATCTCGGCTCACCGCAACCTCCGCCTCCTGGGTTCAGGCAATTCTTCTGCCTCAGCCTCCTGAGTAGCTGGGATTACAGGCACGCGCCACCATGCCCAGCTAATTTTTTTGTATTTTTAGTAGAGACGGGGTTTCACCATGTTGACCAGGATGGTCTCGATCTCTTGACCTCGTGATCCACCCGCCTCGGCCTCCCAAAGTGCTGGGATTACAGGCTTGAGCCACCGCGCCCGGCCTAGTTTACTTTCTTATCAACTCCTACTCATCCTCCAGGCTCAGCTGGAAGTGCCACTAAGTCTGGATTAAGTGTCCCCACTCACCACCAATACCCTTGTCACACTGTCTGTGACACTGTCTGTTAGAGGACTCCCCGAGGGTGGAGGCTGGGTGGACCTGGAGCTCTCCGGTACTCCCAGCACCTGGCACAGTGCCTGGTGCACAGAAGGTTCTCAATCAATACACGTGTGAGTACAGCATTCTCGTCGTAGTCTGTCACCAACCAGCACCCTCAACACCCTCTACTTCCTCTACTCTTTCCACACACCCTACTCTGCAGCACCTCATTCTAGGCTCCCCTTCCTCCCGAGGGCCCCACCTTCCCTGCCTCCCTTCATCTGAGCTCCCTCTGTGTAACCAGGCCGCTATCCAAGCTGGCCTCAGGCACAGTCACAATAACCATAGTAAGGACAGCTATTGTTTACAGAGCACTCACATGTGTCAGGACCGGTTCTAGACTCCTTCCATTCTTTGGCTCATTTCATAACCAGCAGGAGCTAACAAAGGGGGTTGGCCCTATGACCTAACTTGTCTGATGGTTCTGGGCAGGTCCCTCCAGGAGACTGCGTAACTCCATCGTCACCATGTGTAAAGGAGATGGGGTATGCGCTAGGCCTCAATAAAAGTTTATCAAGGGAAGGAACACTATAATTGCCTACCTTTATAGCAGGTCCTATCACTAGTAAAACATTATCTCTGGGTGATAATGTTTTATAAGCCCTGGGAGGTGAGCATGGCAAGGTCATTATTCTCATTTTATAGAGGAGAAATCCCTTCAAGGGAGTGAGGAGGGACCCGCTTCCAGCCACACCAGTGGTAATGAGCTCTCATCCAAAGTGCAGCACCTCCAGGGCTCTGCAGAGGGGTCCTGGGTGGTGTGTGACAGGGAGGTGCTCTGCCAGACTGGATGGAGCCCTTCAGGACCATTCATCCAGCGATCTCAACCCTCACTGGGCATCAACATTGCTTGAAGGAAGGGGGCTTTCAAAATTGCCAATTGCCCAAGGTCTTGGATATTTTGATTCAGTAATTGATCTGGGGTGACACATGGGCATGGGCATTTTTCTTTCTTTTTTTTTTGAGATGGAGTCTCTCTTTGTTGCCCAGGCTAGAATGCAGTGGCATGATCTCAGCACACTGAAACCTCCGTTTCACAGGTTCAAGCCATTCTCATGCCTCAGCCTCCAGAGTGGCTGGGATTAGAGGGGTGTGCCACCACACCCGGCTAATTTCTCTGTTTTTAGTAGAGACAGGGTTTCACCATATTGGCCTCAACTCCTAGCTGGTCTCAAACTCCTAGCTTCAAGTGATCTGCCCACCTCAGCCTCCCAAAGTGCTGGGATTACAGGCGTGAACCACCGCACCTAGCCACATTTTTCAGTTAAAAAAAGAAAAGAAAAAACACTTTAAGGCTGGGTGCAGTGGCTCATGCCTATAATTCCAGCACTTTGGGAGGCTGAGGCAGGTGGATCACAAGGTCACGAGTTTGAGACCGGCCTGACCAACATGATGAAGCCCTGTCTTTACTAAAAATACAAAAATTAGCCAGGCATGGTGGTGCACACCTGAAATCCCAGCTACTCAGGAGGCTGATGCAGGAGAATCACATGAACCCGGGACACAGAGGTTGCAGTGAGCCAAGATTGCAGCATTGCACTCCAGCCTGGGGGTCTGTCTCAAAAAAAGAAAAAAAAATTTTCAAAAAAACCACAACACTTTAATAGGTCATTTCACAGATGAAGAAACTGGAGTGGGAGTTTTAATTCCCACGTGATACTTATCGAGTGTTTACAATGCTAGGCACTGTTCTAAATAGTGCAGGTTCATCTGATCCTCACCATAACCCTGCATGGAAGAGATTATTATTTTAAAATTATTTTTAAATTTATTTTTTTAGACAGAGTCTCCCTCTGTCATCCAGGCTGGAGTGCAGGGGTGCGATCTCGGCTCACTGCAGCCTCTGCGTCCTGGGCTCAAGCAATTCTCCTGCCTCAGCCTCCTGAGTAGCTGAGCTTACAGGCATGTGCCACCATACCTGGCCAATTTCTTTTGTATTTTTAGTAGAGTCAGGTTTCCACCATGTTGGCCAGGCTGGTCTCAAACTCCTGATCTCAGGTGATCTGCCCGCCTTGGCCTCCCAAAGTGCTGGGATTACAGGCATGAGCCACTGTGCCCACCCTAAATTATTTCTTAGAGATGGGATCTTACTCTGTTGTCCCTCACTACAGCCTTCAACTCCTGGGCTCAAGCAATCCTCCCAGCGCAGCCTTGTGAGTAGCTAGGATGGAACTTTTTTTTTTTTTTTGAGATAGAGTTTCATTCTTATTGCCCAGGCTAGAATGCAATAGTGCCTTCTCGGCTCACTGCAATCTCCACCTCCTGGGTTCAAGCAATTCTCCTGCCTCAGCCTCCTGAGTAGCTGGGATTACAGGCATGCACCACCACACCTGGCTAGTTTTGTATTTTTAGTAGAAATGGGGTTTCTCCATGTTGGTCAGGCTGGTCTCGAACTCCCCACCTCAGGTGATCTGCCCGCCTCGGCCTCCCAAAGTGCTGGGATTACAGGCGTGAGGCACCGTGCCCAGCTGGAACTTTTATTATCAGTTCCATTTTACAGGTGAGAAAACAAAGCACAAAGGGTGCGATGTGGCACAAATAATAAATGGTGGGCTGGGATTCAAACCCTAGAGACCTGGCTTCAAAGACCACATTCTCAACCTTGACTCCATAGCTGTCAAGCCCAAAGTTGCAGAGGAGCCGGTGGTGGAGCCAGGCCCAGAATGCAAGTCAGAGAGCCAGTGAAAGTGGGTAAACTAAGGTCAGAAAAGCCACAATCCAAGCCTAGAACTCTAGTAGCTTCTAGGACGCCTAGAGCTAGAGAGAGGCCTTCAGGGCCCTCTCCTTCAAAGGGGAGGTAGGGGCTGACAGTACGGCAGCTTTGCCTGCCTGCCTCCCTCCCTGCCAAAGGGGAGCCCTGACCAGCCCCAGCTGAGCTGTCACCTCCCTATTCTAATTGATGCA